GGGGGTGGACTCCTCGGGTTTGTAGTAATTGAGTGAGCCTATCAAGGTTCACGCAATCGTAGACCTGGGTGAGATCCAGGAAGATAAGATTGTGTCTGTTGCCACGATTGTGTTGTCTAATGCGACTAGCAATCCTCTATTTGAGTATTAAAGCGTGTCCCAACATTAACCAGCCTGGAAGCGGCAGAATGCGAACGCCTTGTGATAGTGAAAGTAGGATTTGAGTTGGATATATTGGGCGGAACTGGAAGACTGATGCTGGGATTGGGACTTTCGGTATAGAAACTGTGAGCACACAGGCATTGTCAATCTTGGGTAATCACCACTGTACACCATCTGTTTAAAAATGATTGATGAGAAAGGGGAAAAGAATCAAGTCGGCCGCGGAGTTGTCTATCTAGATTGTCAAGAGGATATGTGTCGATGCAGGCCTTGATGGAATTACATCGATTCCAACTGGGCCTGCTCCCTTTCTTGACGGACATGTAACAACTATTACACATAGACGCTCTGTATTTAGGATGTGAATATTATTATATTGCGTGGATGGATCGAGGCTGGGGTAGAAGGGATCGATCGACTTTGCGGATCCTGTGGAGTTAAAAACTGAATTTGAGTGCTTTGAAATGGTGTCTGGAGTGTGCAAGTGTTCTACATCATGTTCTCCTCGGCCTGTGAGATTTTGCTATGTGGAGGACCGTTGAAAACGACAAAAGGCATGAAGAATTTGTCATGCACTGGCGCGTTCATCTGCGAGGGAGGCCACACTTTGAGAGCTGTTCGGAGATTTACACTTGCTTGCAGATTCCAAATTATGTCTATAATTTCGGTGAGACAATTAGCAGGTGAAATCTGAGAGAAGCCGATTCCAGACATGTGTTTGGCCATGTATTTGTGTCAGCACTTAGGTTCTAATAGTTGGGCTTCTCCACTCCTTAAGGTTAATCCTGGAGGGAATGAAACCATCGGATGGTTTTCCTCTTGGGATATTCAAAAGGGAAGTCTGAGGAGTTGATGGGATGCGTAGGCATGTTACTTCTGCGGTGTTCATAGGATATGATGGATGCACTATATGTATATGTTTGTGGTCAGATTGTAACCAGAAGACATGGGGATGTATTTTGAGAAAATTGATAGTGAATTGGCGAAAAAATTGTCTTTGGTAGATAATGGCGGTATTGGCTGGAGATATGGTGTTGGTTAAATTGTGAGGACCAAGTAGTGATGGTGTGAGCACGTGATAACGGGTTTTAAGGTGTGTGTTTTTACATTTTGTCTGCTAAAATCGCCACCTGCTATTGCAGGTTTGAGCAACAATATGGATGTTAGGATCTCATTAATTTGTAGTTGGGGCTTATTATGGGTGGTGAATACACAGCGGTACTTGTGGTTTTGAATTGAAATGAAAGATGAAAAAGAGGAGTTATGTGTAAACTTAAGTAAATGTGCTAATGTTTGGACAGGGCTAACACATCGCTTCTATGAAGATGAGTTGGGACGAATCAAACCGCTAACCATTTCTCAACTTGTTCTTTTACTACAGCCTCATGTCTCCAGGATACATAGTTCCTAGAAGGACACTTTAGCTGGTAAAAATCTACCTTGGTTAGGCTAAGGCTGACGTATCCGTCGTTAAAACGGAACTTAGACCAGTCAGTAATCTTAATTTTCTTATTTACTAAAATAATATCCATAATCTTACTTGCAAGGTCTGGTATTAATGCCTTGACTGTGTCAGACGGTGGCGTATATGGTTTTAAACAGTTATCGTCTGATTGAACTTTTAATGGATTGGCATTGTTCGATACTTAATGTGAGCGTATCGCTCATTCCGACTATAATTTCGCACTTCTGTGACATCTTAACTATCACAGCTTGAGTGGTGATATTTCTATCATCGGCCAAAGAGATTTTAACATCGGTGGCCATGGTTTTACACTTAGAAGTTTTCTCATCTGCTAAAATTAAGAGAGTGATTTGCGCTCGCCGTTCGATATCTTTCATTAAAGCAAAGCGATCGGATATAAATGAAATTTTCGAACCAGGATCAATCAGTGCAAGGATTTAATTTCCATTGCAATATACAGATTTTTATTACGCGCTCATCTAAGGAGTCGTTGTATTGTCTTTGTAACGATTGTACCCGTTAGTACCTTCATTCCAACTGAATGTCGGGCTTCTTGTCACAAGACTTACCATGACAATATCCATTGGTTTTCTCGCACTTATCGCACTTTGCGAGATAATGCGTGCATGCAGGTGCGTACTTTCCATTACCATAACTACTTAGGGTCAATTGGTACATATCATACCCACACTGCCCATTTTTAGATCTGATTGTACGCAGGGACCTTCGGCTCGGCACGACCCTTCTTAATAGGGCGTGTATTTTCGTGTGTTTTGAATAGTCTCACGAGGGCATGTCTGTGTGGGTCTCTCGTTTGATGTCTGCCAAGATACGTATCCTTGGTCAATCTGCCCTTGCGATTTCTTAATAGCCGCCTTCTCCCGAGAGGTCACTCGTCTGGGAGGGTATACAGTGGACACAGTCTGACAAAACTGATCCTACTGTAGCAGAGTCAAATAAAACTTTCCCAGATCACGAGGTTTGTATGCAACTTGCGACGAAGCTCAGTATACAAACTCTCCCGGTCATTGTTCCCGATGTTTATACAGAACACATGCATAGCCAGGAATCCTTTTTAATATCAGGGCGTTTCAAGTCCGCATCGAGTTTCAATATGTAGCTCTGTATGATCGTGTTTGGTACTGGTTCGGCTAAGATTGAACTTGGCCCAGGGCTGCGCATGTCCTTGCTTTATAAAAACGTTACTAGTCACCAAATCGCTGGCCAATCACGGCAGTGGTTTGATTCGTCTTGATGTCTCTGAAGGATGAAGTAATTTGTTCCTTCAGGATCATACGGCTGCATTAGTGCAGATATTCATTGATGTGGAGCGATATTATTCGTCGTCAACATCACTGTTAATGCATTCAGCGTGCGAGTCAAAGTATCAACATCATGGTTATTACTGAACTCGGAATTTTGACTGCTGCCGTTCCAGTTCGTCTTAAGTCAACTAATCATTCCCTTGAGGACAAAGTACCCTGGACGGAGATTTATGACCGGACCAGAGGATCGGAAATATATGAAGATTTTAGAACCGGGCCAGAGGATCGGATCTAAAAGAGATTATTTTGTAAGATTCGGTCTATCAAGGCGATATTAACGCCTTAGAGTAATTAAACGCTTAGGTTAAATCTAGGTATCGTGGAATTCGAAGTAAATAAACGAAAAGAAACTTTTGGTAAAGTTAAGTATGCCTCGTGAAAACAGCAATACTCTGAGGGATTGTGAGGCTGAGACATTGCCTATATATAATCCTCTCAGTACTGTTTTCGCCGAAGGGATTCTATTTAGTGTTTCGTTGTCGCTCTATTAGAAACTATGGTATGTTTCGTTGGGGTGAATCCGAGAGACTCATAAAATCCTATCTTTAGAAAAAAAGAAGAAGAAAAAAAGAAAAAAACTCTTGATGTCCATAGTTAGTGTATTAACCAATAACTTGCCACTTATCAAGAATTACCGACTTAGCCTTCGTCAGACTGGCATATTTGGTTGGCTGAACGGAGGTTAAACTAGGTAACGCTAATAATCCCTAGAAACCTATATTCGGTTGACCCATCTCGCTACCGAAGTATTCAGATATAAATAGATTTGTAAAGTAAATAAAGTTCTATTAATAGAACTAGACCAAATCTTTATGTTTGGTATTTAATGGGGCCTTTTAATGGCCTTGTCCAAATATCTTATATGTAAAATGGAAAAGGTATTAATTAATAAAACCGTTAAAAACCATTTAGGAAACTTAAGTTCTTTGTACCATTAAGAGTACGTTTGTAGTTTACGTACTGCTTAAGAGTACGTTTATAACATAAGAGTCTAATGTGGAGGCCCGGCTATTACAATTTCAGGACCGGACTAAGGGACCGGACCAAAAATTGGAACAGCGGATTTAATATGAGAGAATCATGACTCACAGGGTGTCATCAGAATTTAGTAACTGGGAGACGAATGATGGCTCATAGGGTGTCATCATAATTTAGTAACTAGGAGATGAAAAACATAGATACGGGTATCTCGTTCCACATAGGAACGTGATAATAAATACAGCAGACGCGCCGTTCATATCAGCACTTCTGACCGAGTTCACTTACTTCAGACTTAACACTCTTTACTAAGCGGTACTTGGTTTTGACCACATTTAAATGACCGAACTACTGTATTTATTATACTACGTTCTTTAAAGACTAAATTTACTGAGCCAACAATGTTAAATTCATTTTTTTTCCTGCGATATTGAAGGGACTCAGCACTACACCGATATCTAAGATAGATAAGCAAGCCTGTGACCGGCTGCTGAAATTGTTGCTTGGAGCTGTTCGTCGAGTATCCCTAGTATGCGCTAAGGTGGAAACAGCATTCGCTAAGGAACCGGCACCCGAGGATGAAAAGAAGGCAGAAATCCACGTGACATTGACCCGTTTGGTTCTGAGGCCCAACACTCGATTGATATCTTGGATAGACTTAAACATCAACCGGATTCGATTGCTGATCAAGAAGGTCACTTGAATACGACGATGCATGTGCAGGAGGCCACAGAAATTAATCATTTAATTAGTGAACAACTCCGCCATCTTCGTGAGCTTTCAATGGCGGATATTGACACGTCTACGCCCCATGAGACGGTTCAGACACCATCGGATGATGATATTTCTGAGCCTCAGGCCGTACCAACATCGAAACAACATTGGGATCCTCAATACCCAACACTGGCATGGTCGACATCAACCGACCAGTTGCCTAACAGCGGGCCTAACAACATGAAACAAATTAGCCTGGTGAAACACAATTGGCCGCACAAAGCCCGTACCTCAAGTGGCTCCGTACGATAATGTGCATGTTACTCGTAGAGAGCGGATGTTGAAACACGCTCAAAATCGAGCACAAGAAATTCCGACACAGGAGGAGATGCCGATCGACTCTGAGGATTTGAGTCGCAATTAGGAGTCGTCAGCTGCAGTGAGATCTCCTGGTTGAAATTTTCTGGTCCCAGCGGAATTGCATTTGGACATGGCTATCCCCCAAAATTTGTCATGATCGGCGAAGTGTCCCGTTGATGCATTTCGCAGAATGATGAAATTTCCACGATAGCAGCCTATTCACGGTCAAGCAGCAGTGAATTTTATTTCGGGACAAGTTGCAACATCGTCGTCGCCCACAGTCACCAGAAGAGCGGAAAGAAAACTGACAGGATAATGCAAATGTACCTATCGATACGCTTGCACATCGCAAACAATTCCCTGTTCACGACGGTCGCTACTTAGAGAAACCGCAGGATGTAAAACCATGTAGGATATCACCACCCACAGAGTCGTGCATCACTGCATCTACCGCGGCCGAAATGAAAATGCAGGCCTTTCATCTCACCCAACGTATGATACAAGCAGAAGCTGAGGGGCGCACAGAGGACGCCCCTTCCTTGCACGGTTTAATTCGCACATCTAATGCAACGTTGAAGACATGATCGGTAACGGTAGACAAACGGATACCAAAGGAATGGCCACCCAATCCACAGGGCAGCTATTATTTGGATATCCCGCAAAAGATACATTTGCATGCGTTCATCTTGGATTGACATAAGAATGCAAAATTTAACAAGTTAGACCCGATCCATATGTAGATGGGCCTACATAGGGCATTCCAGAAGGAAGGGGCGCCCAAGGCGTTATTGAATTTTGTTATGGAGAACGAACAAAATTGCAGTCAATGTCATTTCAGGGCGCCACTGATTATATTGTACGACAACGCATACAGAAATGTATTGGCATGCATGAAGTTAAACCTTCCGGTGCCACTTGAGGCACAACCTCGGGATTTTGAACGCAAAGCAGACTTCATGGAGATGCGACAATATAAGAATCCGTTACAGATATACCGCAGTCATGGTATGCTCAGCCTGATACGTCAAGCTGCGGGGGAAGCATATTACCTACCGTGATACCCTTCGTATGGGGTTCACGTTCACACACACGAGTGCGTGTGGAGGCGAACAGACGAGCTAACTCGCATGCACCACCAGCATCGAACCCTCGTGCTCGTTGTCGGATATGTGAGCAGAATCTCCCTCCTGGCCCAGCTCTCGCACCCCGCTGTCCTAAACTACAGAGAGCACCAACATCAACCAACACAGGCAACTATACACAATATGGGGGTGCGCCACCACAACGTGCATCGGCTGTGGGCACACCCACGCGTACACAACAAGCGTCGGGTAATAACTTCCGACCTCGAGTCAATCGAGTGGATGGTGATAACCGTGTATATGATACTTTACAAGTAAACGGACATGCAATGCGCACACTCATTAACACGGGGGCGAACCGCTCTGTTATCACTCAGGCATCCGCAGAAAAGGCACGACTATCTATTACACCACCAGTTAAGGATAGTTATATATATTTGGCGGACAAAGTTTCCGCACACCGCGCTTAGGCAAAACGCATGCCACGACAGTTCAATATGGCACAAAATCTACCGAAGGCTTTACGTTTGAACTTATGAATCTTAAGGAGAATTAGGTCTCGGCCTTATGGGACTATCGTCACCTTTTCCAGAAATCAATCGAAATGTTGTTGACGGACTGCTCGAACCGATCGACATTCGAATAGCACCACACTTGTCAGAACCAAAGGATATTCGACAACGGCTACGACAGTACTTAGATGCCGGAGAGACAATTTTGGATGCAGCTCGGTGTACTCTACCAGGCAGTTTTAGGGTATTCCTCCCCCCTCGTGTTTTCATTGTGGGTAACCCTAGCTAACCCTGGATAGGGCCACCCCTTAGTTTTAGACCCCTGTTCAGTGGCCAGTGCTTTGTTTACAGTCACAGCAGATGTGCAAGCTGATAACAATTCCATTGGTTGACAGTTTGGCTTTTTATGTATATGTGCATTATTTGCCCTTTAAATATTTTACTACAGAAGTTCATAGTGGTTTTAGCCTAAAACTTAATAATGCACAGAGACTACGTCTATGTGCCGAAATTCAAATGCACACATCATGTGGTAATGAATATTAATTTACCGGAAGACAAGACGGTATTGTATATGGTTTCAGCCCTTCAATAACGCGAAGGTTAAACCACGCGGCCAATTCGAGCTTGACACAATACCTGAGATCAAAAAGTCGTAGATATTTATTTACATTCAAATACCTAGATAGCTTCCACTTGCGAAATTTGCGAAAACAAGATGGCTTCGAGCTTGAGAAGTGCTAGCTTTAGATCAACAGATAATCTTGTTCGTAAAACGAGAGCGTTCATATCAATTGATATATACTGCTCAAGGTATGCATATGGAACTTAAACATATGGCTGGCTTTATAGTACACAAATAATGGGTTTGCAAGACTATCTCAGTCTTCACATGGAATGCTTCCACAACTTTTGATAGCCAATATGCACTGGCTATCCTTGTGTATATATGATTTGAATTTATTATTCCCGACGAAAACAATCTAGGTTATAACTACTAATAGCACGATATTTTACGTCAGGGCAAATTTACTTACAGTAGGCAATCCCAAGTGCAGCGATAGTGGAGTGGTAAAGTGATACGGCAAAAGCTGGAAATAATGTCGCACAAACACTCACACACACAAAACGCACACACACACACATATACATACAATATATATATATATATA